ATATATATATATATATATATACACACACACACACACACACACACACACACACACACACACACACACACACACACACACACTATAGGTTCCCAGACGCCTACTACCTGTTGTAGCACAACCTTGGCTTTTTTGATGCAATGCCAAAGTCCTATTAGTGTGCAGAAATGCCAGCACACTAGTAGAACGACTCGGGCGCATCAGAATAAATGTTTTACTAGTACCGCTGGACATGTATTTTCAATCTACTTTATAATGTCAAACTCATGGCCCGAGGGCCATTTCTAGCCCACCACACAAAAAGCACTCGTAAACTGTTTCTCCTCACTCCACCACACAAAAAGCACTCGTACACTGTTTTTCCTCGCTCGTAAGATGGTTCATCACACTAGCAGAAACACTTTGACATACTTGTAAGGGAGGTAGTAGTCGCCAATTGGTGCTTGTAGTTGGTGGTTTACTCGGTTCCTATGTAGGAGCATAATAGTGCATGCCTATTGGGGTTATTTGTGCAGCACTGTAGTTTGCGGATGAGGATGCTGAATTGTTTTACTGGCGATAGTAATGTTTGTGTGTAGTGTCTTGTTTGTATTGTTTTTGACTTTGTTACTATTTTGAAAATTGGTAAATTTTTATCTCTGTCTAAAACTTTGTTTCAGCTGTGGTTGTTGCTTCATAAAATTCATTTGAAACAAAGCACACTAGTACTGGCACCTAAAGCTAAATATCAAGGATACTGAATAAATGTTCCAATGGTTTTCCATACAGGACAGCGTGCAGCAATGCATTTAAGAGATTAGGTGGCAGCTGAATCAAGTGACTTGCTTTAAGATTTAGCAATGCTCTCAGACTTTCTTACAAATATGAGATTTAAAAGTGCTAAGCAACTGTGGCATCCTGAACTGTGAGGACCGGGTGGCTGATGGGTACCACCAGGCTAGCAGCTTGGATAGCGTCCCGTCCAGTGAAACAACATCTAGATAAAGAGCTCTTTGTATGTGTGTTGAAGAGGCCGAGACAGATGAATGTTGTATTGAACACATCCCAGTCCTCATGCTGAGCCGCTTGAAATTGCCAGTTTCCCATCTACATGGACCAGCACATCTCACTATGCATCCAAACACTGCACGTCAATTGATAGTCTGTCAGTAAACAACATACATGACAATCAGTTCATCATTCTGTCACAGATGGTCAATTTGGTACAGTAAGCCTTTTAGCAGTTAAACATTGCAGAATGGTGTCATTTTAGACATTTAGACTACCAATCGGATGTCAGAGGTAGTAGTAATATGAAACATTATGGCATGTTACTGAACAAAGGTGGGCATTCCGTGAGACTGAAGAAGGTCTGTTAGTCCGTCACTGTTTGTGTCAGTATTTCAGGCTGACCCACATAGGCCCTGTCGTCCCTCCTGGACGATAACCAATCGGCGTCAAGATCATGATTCCCACATCACACACACGTGCCATACAAGCCGACATGCAGCCAAATAAAGAAAAAAAAATCAAACAGACACACATGGACAGTGTGGTGACTGGTGAAATAAAAACAATATGGAGCATGTCATTGAGGTGTGTGTGACTGAAAGGGATGTAACACTTTTATTTTTTCTGTATTTGGCTGCCTGTCAGGTGTGCGGCACCTGTCTGTGACGTAGTCCCGTAAATCTGTTCTCAACGCAATTTGGCTGTTGCTGATGACTCGGATGGACGTGGCTGGCCTGAAATACTGACGGGAGCTCAATGACGGACTCACTGAACTGAAGATGCCCACCTCTGTTACTTGATGTTTATATTTTATCCCCCCCCCCAAAAAAAAAAACACATTATACAATACAACACTATCCGTATTTATTTGTATAGCGCTTGCATAACAGCTGCAATGATAGGAAGAGTATAACATCAACAGCCGGAGCTCATTAAATCCTGTTTCTTTTCCTCAGACTACAGGTTACAATATCATCTCACATTATATGTTAATAAGATACAGAACACTATAAAATGAACCAACAAGCGTTGCTTTGTGGAGGCATAAAAATCAGGATTTAAAGGGACTGACACTCAGCAAAAGCTGGGATGATCTGAAATACTTGCTCTTTTTATTATGCTTCATTAGTCAAATTTCGTGTCAAACAAAATAGTGTGCCGCTATCTAGTGGTTTACAGTGGAATTAAACTAAAAAATAAACAGGAGGCAGAACAAAATAGAGTGATAAAACTGTACAAACACATGTCTGTGATATAGCAGGATCACAAACCCGGAACCCTTGATTAGAGGGAGATTATTGTGTCATGTTGCATTTCTTCAGAATGAAGACAAACGAACCGTAGAGCTCGGCGGACACGTGGGCTTCGACAGTCTTCCAGATCAGTTGGTCAGCAAAACAGTCACACAGGGCTTCAGCTTCAACATCCTCTGCATAGGCAAGTAGGGTTTTGACATGTATCTTGTCTTAGAAAGCACAACTCACTCCTTTTTTTCCCCCCCTTCCGTCCATTCACCACCTGTCATTTGTTTGCATGCTTTTCTTATAGGCGAGACAGGGATAGGTAAATCCACCTTAATAAACACACTTTTCAATACACGGTTTGAAAATGAAGAGGCCAGCCACTATGAGAAAGACGTGCTTCTACGACCACACACATACGACCTACAGGAGAGCAACGTCAACCTCAAGCTGACCATCGTGCACACTGTTGGCTTTGGTGACCAGATCAACAAAGAAGAAAGGTGAATGTACAGTAAAATGAAAATAACTCGAACTCTTCTTTCTTTTTTTTTTTTTTTTTTGAAGGTACCTAGAGTTTTTTGTTTTTGTCATATAACTAGAAAAAAATGTGTTTGCAAGAACAAAGGATCTCAATACAGTAGATGCTGAAATCAGTGAATGACTAGCGAGTGTTTTACCAAGATAAAAACACCTTCCTTTTATGATTAATAATGTTGGTGTTTTTCTTCTTTCCTTCGCAGCTATAAACCCATTGTCGAGTATATTGACACTCAGTATGAAACATACCTCGAAGAGGAGCTAAAAATAAAACGTTCCCTGTGTAATTTCCATGACACGAGAATCCACATCTGCCTATATTTCATTGCTCCCAACGGCCACTCCCTCAAATCTCTGGATCTCGTCACCATGAAGAAGCTCGACAGCAAGGTGACCGCACAATGTCGTTTGTGGTTTTTCTCAGTTAGTACAATTATTCAGCTTTGTTGTTTGTTCGCAGGTGAACATCATCCCTGTCATTGCAAAGGCAGACACCGTGTCAAGGAGTGAACTGGACAGGTTAAAAATCAAGATCATGAGCGAACTGGTCAGCAATGGAGTGCAGATATACCAGTTTCCGACTGAGGATGAGGCTGTGGCCGAAATCAACTCTTCCATGAATGTGGGTCGCGCTTTCTCTCTCTCTCTCTCTCTCTCTCTCTCTCTCTCTCTCTCTCTCTCTCTCTCACACACAATCACTCACTCACCCCGTCTTAAACACCCTCGCACGCACGCATACATGCATAAACAATACATAATACACGTGCAGGATGCAGCAACCTTTTATTACAATGTGGAACACTCTCTGGCTGACACGAAAAGCAGGAGACAGATTGTTCATCTTTTACTAGGTGCCTCATTGATGGTCGCTCTGGCACCGTAACTAATTCTGGGGTTGACATCGAAAGTATACAGGACGGAGTCAAAGATGGCTAGTGCTTACACTCTTTTATTATTATTATACTGTATATATTTCAACTTTACAATTCTAAACATCAAATGAAGTCGTCACCAAATGAGTGTTTAAGATTTGGGCTCTGGATAGATGCTGGGAAGAGTTACCAGATGGTGCAAGTTCTTTTGCTAGAGGGGGCTCCCACCACTTGGGGGTACATGAGCAGTACAGTGGGTCCTTGGCCCCGGAATGATTACATTTTGAATTGCAGTGCCTGTTGCCATAGTATTCTCAATTTTGGCTACTCATTCATCAACATAGCACAATGGCTCAGAATGTGACCGCAGCGGTTTTCATCTTCTACTACAGACTCACCTGCCATTTGCTGTTGTAGGCAGTGTGGAAGATGTCAAAGTAGGCAATAAAATGGTCAAAGCAAGACTTTACCCCTGGGGATCAGTACAGGGTGAGTCCAACTCACGAGTCTTAAGTCTCCATATGTTCAACAGTCATTTGACATTCAGAATTTCTTTCGTATGTCTTTTGTCCCCAAGTGGAGAATGAGAACCACTGTGATTTTGTAAAACTGAGGGAGATGCTGCTGCGCGTGAACATGGAGGATCTACGTGAGCAAACGCACACTCGCCACTATGAGCTGTACCGCCGTTGCAAGCTGGAGGAGATGGGCTTCAAGGACGCAGACCCCAACAGCCAGTCGTTCAGGTGAGATAAGGCTTAAAAAACATTGTCACTAGCAACCTATTGTACATTGGCCATTTGGTCTTTTCAAGTATTGGTACTGTGTGAATATTTGTTATTTCTGCAGAAGAGATTGTATTTACATTGGCATGGGCTTGTTGATGTGATACTTCATAGTAGGTCTGGGTAGTTAATTGAAATTTAATTGTGATTTAAATTTTGGCTTCTCATGAACATAATAATAAAACATTTTATTTATAAGCGCCTTTCAAAACACTCAGGACACCTTACAAAACCATTAGAATTGAAGAAAAATGATGTAAACCTACCGACCGTTGTGAAACCCTGAATGCACCATGTCGCTTGAGCAGCAAGCATGGGCCGAATCAGGAATTTGAGGAAAATATGTTAATTTTCCCGAACAGCCGGTATATTTCCAGGCCAGTCCTGGCCATCACGGCTGATAGGAATCTAATGTGCAACAGCCTATCATGCTGCAAAGTGATTCGAAGCGTGTATGTGTGTTTACACTGTTCCATTAGACCCACACATGCATGCACGCATGGAGTTGTTTTTAGGGCAGCAATAATGCATTTCATGTGCCCCCTTTAAAGTTTTTTTGGTCTGGTGACGGTTCTGGGTTGTTCTTTCAAATTATTCGACAGTTGAGTTTTGTCCATTAAATAAACACAAAATGTTGAAAATTATGAATAATTGTGTTTGTTAATTTTGATTTCAACATTTTTTTGCATTCTCACCCAGCCCCATTTCATAGTGCTTTTCACTCTTAACACCACCGCTCTAGTCTGTAAATTAATTTTGTGACCTAAGTTGACAATGAGTATCACGTAAAACGGAATAAAATTGCAACTATCATGCTGTGCAGCCTGCAGGACACATATGAAGCCAAGAGAAAGGAGTTCCTGAGAGAACTGCAACACCAGGAGGAAGGAATGAGGCAGATGTTTGTCAACAAAGTAAAAGAGACCGAAGCAGAGCTGAAAGAAAAAGAAAAAGAGGTGAGCTCCAATAACACGTCAGGGAACGTTATGTCCGATTTTGATTTTGTACTTGGTGTCTAGCTCCACGAGAGGTTTGAGCAGCTCAAACGACTGCACCACGAAGAAAAGAAGAACCTGGAGGAGAAACGACGAGAGCTGGAGGAAGAGATGAATGCTTTCAACAGGAGGAGGGTTGCTGCAGAGACACTGATGGGCCAAGCTCTCCAAGGTGCATCTCAACCTCTCAAGAAGGACAAGGACAAGAAAAAGTAAGTTCCCCTTTCTTTCATTTTTTTGGTGACGCTGTTAATTTGCTATGTAAAAAATAATGTGGCCAAAAAAACCCCCAAAAAACAAAAAACGTTTTTTCCGGAACTGATGAACATCCCTCAAGTCGTATGATTCGGAATTTGCCCTACAAATGGCCTCCAAATTTAGAGAAAATTTTCCAATTTCACGAAATTTGTCTGAAAAATATTAGCCAGATATGACAAATAATTAGTAGTTGCTAAATCAGAACATACCGAAGGTGAACCAACGTTCAGCAATGGATTTTGTTTGAGCTTAGAAGTTCAATTGCACATGCTGGGTAAGCCAAATAAAGATACAGTACGTGATTAAAGGCTATCATGCAAGCGTGGACAGTTTTCTCCGCGGTAGCTTCTGTAGACTGTGCGTGATTAATGAGGTAGTGACATTCTCCCAGGAGCCATGTATTGCTCAGATACTGATCCAGGGACAGATTGAGAGTGACACTATGTGCCCAGACACAGTTGGATGTGTCACAGTTTGACACAGCCTGATGCTTCTGTCTCTGCGGGCTGACCTGCCAGACGGTATCAGGCAGGGGCAATTGTGTTTACATACGACTGGTCTCACTGCTGACACGGATGACCTCACAGTACCAAATTATTTTGCACAGGAGGACACACCATATGTCAGGAGGAATTATGTGCAGGAAATATACACACCTGATGGTCAGGATTAAAACAGTGAAGGCTTCTAGGGTGTAAGGAAATTAACAACACGAGTTAACGCTGTGTAAAACCTGAAAGACAGATCCCATCCCTTGTCACGTCATCCTTTTGTGTTTTAAATCCTACGTCTCATTGCTTCCCGCCATATTTTGTTGTTGTGTGTCTTTGTCCCATTTCAGTTGATTTTCAGAACAATCATCCAGGGAAGCCATGAATGTGTCCTACCATCAGCGTCGGTCAAAGAGACTGTGGTGGTGTGTGAGCCTGAATATGAATGCGCCTGCTGTAATCCACTGTGTACTTACCCATGATAACGCTAGCTTTGCTCAATGTATTGATGCTGACTCTGCGAGACACATCCAAACAAATCAATGCGCTGTGTTCAATAGTTGTAGCAGCTGTTATTTTACGTTCTTGCCATGAGTCAGTGTTCAAAATTTTCATTGGGCCGATCACAATGAACTGATCTTTTTTTAAACTACAGTGTCTTTGATGTACAGTGATCCCTCGCTATTACGCGGTTCGTTTATCGCGGCTTCACTGCATCGCGGATTTTTTCAAACATATTCATGAAAAAATAAATAAATAAAATTACGTCCGCAAAAAGTCCGCAAAAGGTCCGCGAGAAGCAGTGAAAGTCAGCAAAACAACAGGAGGCACAGAGCAACATATACAGTACTGTACCACATGTATATGTTTACTGTATTTTGTTATTCATAAACTAACCTAACTTATACATGTTTAAATCTATTAGTATACAGCATTAAGTCATGTTAATTACTTCAAAATTTACTTCTGCATGCATGTATACCATTAAATTTGGCCTTATAAATATTATGTACATGTACCTATATGGAGGGGGGGGTCGCTACTTCGCGGATTTTCGTTTATCGCAGGTGGTTTTGGTCCCCATTAATGGCGATAAACGAGGGATTACTGTCTTCATTTTATTATATGAATTTATAGTCTCATAATTGATTACTTGAACAGTATACAGTAGCGTTCAGAGTCTAATTCGGAATATTTGATCATGTTCGGAATATTTGATCATGTACAGAAAGTTATATGCTGCCTGGTCATATCATTAGGTACACTTGCACAATTGAATGAGATTCAATAGATAAGTGTAGATAAAGTCCACACAGCCCACTTCAATTGCCAGTTTTAGTGTACAAGAAGTAGCCTGTTATACGTTTTCAAATCTTTTACAGAATCAGTATAATCTTTTTATGGCCAGGTATGTAAAACACACACATGGAATTTGTCTCCATTAATATGAGCTACACAGGTATTGCAATAACAAGCAACTATCACAAAGAAGTGAGAGAGCCATTTTAAATCTTTGAAATGTATGTTGATCTTATTTTTTATGACGCAAAAACCTGCCATTTGAACAGCGGTGTCTCGACTTTATATCCACTATGGGTGCAAATATACTGTCAGAATGATTCATTTGATAATCAAACAATACACAGTTGAACAAAATATTATAAATAGTTCACAGTATTGCAGAGTTCCATTATGAACCACTGCAAACTACAATAATAATCCCATTTTTATTATTTCTCTGAAAGTGACAATTCAATATAAGCTTTTAAAACTCAGAATGTATGTATTGGATCTCCAGTAAATTTATCTCATAACAAAGGCTTCTTACTGCGGCCACTGTTTTTAATACAGAATGTGACTCTAGCATTTGAGTGTATTAACAGGTGTGCCTCTAAAGCCAATTAGGTAAATTGCATTTTTGGCTTCACTAACAACTAACAAATAACATGCAGAGTGTACAGTATATTGCTCATGTTTTGTCTTTTCTTCTCCTAGCTTCTTTAGTCTTCCCTCTGCGTGTTCCTTAACCTCATCCAGGAATTTGAATTAGAGGACTTTCTACTAACTACGCCGACGTGAAGTGACAGATGGACAAGCAAGTGTATTATTTTTGACACTTGAATGAGCACTTTTAAGAGAAATGCACTTAAATCGCCGAGAATGGATTGCCAAGAGTCTTCCTCGTGTGTTCTACCCTCTGCAATGTAACGTGGAATGTGCATGAAAATAACCATCTCCCCAAGAATGAAACATACTTCTATGGAAAAGTACTGTTTTTTAATGTGCCCTTCATTCTTTTGCAATGTACTTTTGACTAATATCACTGTGAAATAATACATAATACTCTATGTACCATCAAATCACATGGAATTGTTGGTCACGGTTATATACCTTTTTTAATAAAATGTAAATTAAATAATATGCAGAGACTATAATAGGCTTTCATTAGCATAATCAGCACCTTGTACGGTTAACAGTTATTACTCGAAATGTGTATGTTTCACTTTTATGACCGAATGTGATTCAATAAAACAGCTCTGCCATCAATTCTGCATAGAAATATGACTGTTGAATTACTGTTAAACATTAGACATAGAGATCAACATCATCATCATCAGTAAATATGAATATGAATAAATACAGGCAAAATTGTAACTTTTATGATGAGCCAGTGTATATTTAACTGTTTTAGAGGATTACTTCTAAGGATGTTGCTCATGAATGTTTTATAATTTTACTGCGCTTGTGTATAGTCGAGTAATTTGCACACGAACACACACACATATACACACACACACACACACACGATCTATATATGTAAGATCAAATGTTCGATCTGTGTTGGTGATCTTATGTAATAAAGACTAACTTTACTGAAATGTACCTGATTTGTCGCGTAATTTGACATCAAAACAGAATGCGCGTAGCCTTAAAGAAAATTAGTGTTCGGAAACAAATTGACCTGCGACCAGAATGTCCCAGAAAGTTACCACGACGAGTCCATGTTTATCAAACAAAGTCCATCTTCAAAAAGCGGTCAGCAGCATTAGCCTCCAAGAAATTTGCTGCACTTACATTTTTTTTAACAATGACTTTCAGAGACGTTATATTATATTATTGATAATAATGTTAATTATCGTGTTGCCTAATAATCTTCTCATTTACAGTATTTAGCCCAAATTTTGTCTGCATAGTCGGTCTTCAATTGAATAGTCTCAAACTGAGTTAGGTTTTTGTGTCTTTTCTATATTTAAATGTATTATTTTTTTTTAGAATCCTGTACACAAAAATGACCGTATTGAATTAGCGTTCACCAGGCGACACTTCTCTTCCCGTCGTGCGATTGGTTCCCCTGTTTAGAAAGAGCGGGGCTTACTTATGAAAGACGAGAAAATTATCCAATAGAATTACAGAATTAATGAGCGTCACCATCGATGACCAATGAAAGTTCGCCGTGTTCGGACATGGGCCTGGTTTTAAGGGGTATTAAACTCCCAATCTGTCCTTTTCCCCGTCGCCTTACTCCAAGGGTCGGGGGTGTGCATAGACAGGTACAAAATCTATGCTTAAAACTTTCTTAAAAGAAAGTCCATACTCACATTTTTGGGGGTGGTTCACCTAATCCATCCACTTTTACGCCTACGGATTTATTTTAAATTGTACAACCAACGTAACTTGAGCCAAGGTAAGAGAAAGCAGGCTTTTTTTTTCTTCATTTAAGCAGTCCAGTTTTTAACACCCGACGTCAGAAGAAATTATGAAATAATTTGAACGCACAAATTATGAAGAATGTAAAAGCATTTGTTGATCATTTGTAATATGTTCATATTCAGGGTAATTAGCATTAGCTGTTGCCAGCTAACGTCTGGACGTTTAGTTGCTTGTTTATCACCACGACGACTGGCATTCTTAAACTGTCGTCACTCTGTTTTGTTTTTGATAACTACCTAGAAGCAGTGTTATATGACCTTGGTGGACTGTTGTTGTTACCGGGCCTTGTGTTAGCACTGTTGCTTAGCTTTGTGTAAGCAAGCGACATGTCCGGACATGTCAAGAACGGCCTAACCCACTCACGCCCCCCACTTTACAAGATTGTGAAACGTTCAACACGACAGCCGGATTTTAATGTAACACAACGGTCTGCGACCTTAAATTGAGATATTTAAGTTGATTGGAAGAAACTTTTTTTATAGCGTCTCCCTGTTTAGTCTTTGCGTTGATTCGCCCCTCCCCCCAATCCAGTTGAGCCCAGTTTGACAGCAGTTGAGTTGCAAAAGGCCACCAGAATAATTTGACTGAGAAGTCGCGTCTGCAAGAGACTCCGCGTGTAAACAAGATTGTTATCAGAAGACTCAGCATTCATTTGGTTGGCAGGTTGTAAGTTTAATAAATGGAAACATTACACACAGACTAGGTCAGTGGGTGGCAATCTCAAATGCTCAAAAAGCCTTTTCAAGGCTGTCTAAGGAAAAAAAAACAGGATAACACTGGACGCCACAAAATCCCTTTGACCTCTAAAGTGAGGATAAGACTATGAAGATTGCATGTTGTTTTTTTAAATACCTGTATGTAGACAAAAGTGCTTAATTTGTGAAGCTTCTACAAGGAATTTAACCTTTTATTTCTGCATTAACAAAAACACTGGAGGTGCAATGATTAATCAACAACCAATTGAGTTAATTATTTTGATAGTTAATTACTTGATTCAAGACCATGTGTAACTTAAAATTGTCCAAAGCCTTGGAATTTCAGCTTCTCCACAATAAATATTCTCTGATTTCTGTATTTCTCCATAAAAGCAGACTTGTCTTTTAATTAAAATAAAACTGTTGTAAAAATCTGCTATTGCTTTGGAAAACAACAAACATTTTTTGCCAATCATCTGACTAAACTGCATCTTCTTGTATGTTGTCTTGAGAGGGAAGAAATTTCATCTGCACAGTTGACAATAAAGTTCAGGTCTGGACTGCAGGCAGGTCAGCCTATTACACCATTTGGCTAATCTTGATCCAAATGAAGTTCCGTTTGGATTTGACAGTTTTATTACGATTGAGGTGTTCATGTGGAGCATTTTCATTCTGTTTAGACATTTGGATACGTTCTAATCGGAATACATAGCTCCATATAAACCCGGCTGTTGGTAAATAGCTTTGCTTTAGTTGGTAGAGATTTAAGTTGCACTTATTGATGTAGCGCCGAACTGTATTTACTGACGTTTTTCCGAAGTGTTCCTGAGCCCATGTGGTGATAGCCTTTTGATTGATGTTGGTTTTTGATGCAGTGTCGCCTGAGGGATCGAAGGTCACGGGCATTCAATGTTATTTTTCGGCCTTGCCGCCTACATGCAGTGATTTCTCCGGATTCTCTGAACCTTTTGATGCGAATATGGACTAAATACCTAAATTCCTTGCAATTGTTCGTAGAGGAACATTGTCCTTAAACCTGTTTGATTAATTTCTCAAAGCAGTTGTTGACACAGAGGTGAACCTCGCCCCATCTCTGCTTGTGAATGCCTGAGCAATTCAGGGAAGCTCCTTTTACACCCAATCAGGGCCCCCACCTGTCTTTCCAGTTAGCCTGGCGAACAGGTGTTTGATGAGCATTCCTCAACTTTCTCAGTCTTTTTTTGACAGCTGTCTCAGCTTTTTTGGAATGTGTTGCAGCCATAAAATTCTAAGTTAATAGTTATTTGCTAAAAACAAAGTTTATCATTTAGAACATCAAGTACCTTGTCTTTGTACTGTATTCAATGAAATAGAGGTTGAACATAACTTGCAAATCATTGTATTTTGTTTAATACAATGTCGAAACTTCATTGCAATTGAGTTTTTACCTGGATATTTACAAAATAATAGACAATGAAAAAAAAAATATATATACAGGGCTGAAGAGAACAGGTGGGAATGAAAACCTAGCGGACAGAAATGAAAAAAAAAACTAAACCAAAAACACGAAACAAACACGCAGAACATGACAGGAACTTGGCGATCTCGGTTTATGACCGCATTCAGTTCCTCAGGCAGCGATCGAAACTGAACGTGCCCGTCAGTTGCAACATGACGTAGGCTATCACTAACCTACGCTAATGCGGGAGTAACGTCATATTTACAATAAATTTGCATGAAGACCCGTCGAGGCCAGAAAAATTAATCAATCACATGAACAAGACGTTACCTGTATGTAGACAAAAGTGCTTAATTTGTGAAGCTTCTACAAGGAATTTAACCTTTTATTTCTGCATTAACAAAAACACTGGAGGTGCAATGATTAATCAACAACCAATTGAGTTAATTATTTTGATAGTTAATTACTTGATTCAAGACCATGTGTAACTTAAAATTGTCCAAAGCCTTGGAATTTCAGCTTCTCCACAATAAATATTCTCTGATTTCTGTATTTCTCCATAAAAGCAGACTTGTCTTTTAATTAAAATAAAACTGTTGTAAAAATCTGCTATTGCTTTGGAAAACAACAAACATTTTTTGCCAATCATCTGACTAAACTGCATCTTCTTGTATGTTGTCTTGAGAGGGAAGAAATTTCATCTGCACAGTTGACAATAAAGTTCAGGTCTGGACTGCAGGCAGGTCAGCCTATTACACCATTTGGCTAATCTTGATCCAAATGAAGTTCCGTTTGGATTTGACAGTTTTATTACGATTGAGGTGTTCATGTGGAGCATTTTCATTCTGTTTAGACATTTGGATACGTTCTAATCGGAATACATAGCTCCATATAAACCCGGCTGTTGGTAAATAGCTTTGCTTTAGTTGGTAGAGATTTAAGTTGCACTTATTGATGTAGCGCCGAACTGTATTTACTGACGTTTTTCCGAAGTGTTCCTGAGCCCATGTGGTGATAGCCTTTTGATTGATGTTGGTTTTTGATGCAGTGTCGCCTGAGGGATCGAAGGTCACGGGCATTCAATGTTATTTTTCGGCCTTGCCGCCTACATGCAGTGATTTCTCCGGATTCTCTGAACCTTTTGATGCGAATATGGACTAAATACCTAAATTCCTTGCAATTGTTCGTAGAGGAACATTGTCCTTAAACCTGTTTGATTAATTTCTCAAAGCAGTTGTTGACACAGAGGTGAACCTCGCCCCATCTCTGCTTGTGAATGCCTGAGCAATTCAGGGAAGCTCCTTTTACACCCAATCAGGGCCCCCACCTGTCTTTCCAGTTAGCCTGGCGAACAGGTGTTTGATGAGCATTCCTCAACTTTCTCAGTCTTTTTTTGACAGCTGTCTCAGCTTTTTTGGAATGTGTTGCAGCCATAAAATTCTAAGTTAATAGTTATTTGCTAAAAACAAAGTTTATCATTTAGAACATCAAGTACCTTGTCTTTGTACTGTATTCAATGAAATAGAGGTTGAACATAACTTGCAAATCATTGTATTTTGTTTAATACAATGTCGAAACTTCATTGCAATTGAGTTTTTACCTGGATATTTACAAAATAATAGACAATGAAAATATATATATATATATATATATATATTTTTTTTTTAGCTCATTAACATAGATTTTCCTCCTGAACCTCAGTGCACAGTGTCGGCACATCAAGGCTGTAGATGTTGGCTTCATTTTCAAGTTGTTCCTAAATTTTTGCCATTATGCACACAGATGATTGACACAGTGACAGGACCCGGAACACTGCCTTTTGCAGTCCAGCTGAAGGCCTTAACAGACCTGGAGGGCCGCTACCAGCCAAAGCTCAGCGGTCTGAGGATCATTGAGAGCGCTTCGGACAATGGGCTGAGGATGACGAGCAGATTGAGGGACCTGGAGGTGAAGGACTTGCTCACTCTGAGTAGGTTCTTTGGTTTCAGCTCTGAGACGTTTTCTCTGGCCATCAGCCTGCTTGACCGCTTCCTCTCGGTCATGAAGGTTTGTGCAGTAATGCCTGTATTGTCAAGCTTATCACTAAAATACCTGAATGACTTTCAACCTGTTCTGTCCAGATTCAACCAAAGCACCTGTCCTGCGTGGGTCTCTGCTGCTTCTACATTGCTGTGAAGTCCTCAGAAGAGAATAAGAACATCCCCCTTGCCAACGACCTGATCCGCATCAGTCAGAACCGCTTCACGGTTTCTGACATGATGCGGATGGAGAAGATTATTATAGAAAAACTCAACTGGAAGGTCAAGGCCCCCACGGCCCTCCGCTTCCTTCGCCTCTTTCACAGCTACGTCCAGGAGCAACTCGGTGCAGACAGGTGATGACAAGTTATTGGTTGACTAATGTAATTTAGTAGAAACATTGCAATCAAATTCTTAGATGTGTTGTTGTTTTTGTTCAGCGAGAAGAAACTGAGCCTTGAGAGACTAGAGACTCAATTGAAAGCTTGTCACTGCTCCTTTGTCTTCTCCAAAATGAAGGTAGGTGCCACTCATTCTGCTATCACATGACACACAAACACCACACATGCAGGACCCCGCCTAGTCCTCTATACCTCCAGTAGTGTCTGGTCCACAGACCTTAAACACCGGGCAGGTACGTAGAAAGTGGTGAACGACTCTAAAATATGAATGGAGGCCAGAATTTGAGTTATGTGCACCCTTTTACAAGTACCAGTTAGGAGGCAACCAGCAGCATTTTGGACCAACTGGATACGTCTGAGGGGGAACTGGTTGATTCCAAATCAAAGTGTATTACAGTAGTTCAGTTGAGGTGTAATGAAGGAATGAATTCCTGTTGAGAAAGGAGAGGCATTACTTTAGCCACCTGACAAAGATGCTTAAAAAAAAAAAAAAAAAAAAAAAAAAAAAAAAAAGATGGATTTAACAACGCCACCAATTTGATGGCCTAATTTAAAATCACTGTCCAACTGAAAACCCAAATTGCAGACAGGCTTTAGATAAGACAGCACGCACCCAAAATCAGCAGCGTCTAAGGTGCACTGGAACCAAACGGCAAAACTTATGTTGAAGTTCAAGAGATGTCAACCAGGCTGAGAATTCCTCCAGACAGGACAAACGTGACCTTGGGGAGAAAATATCCTTTTTGCTTATCGCAACATAAATTTGACAGATCTGCACAGCAGTACAAGGAAATACTATGCTTTCTTAAAATTGAACCCAAGGGCGGCATATACAATGAATACAGCAGGGGCCCTCAAAACTGAACACTGTGGAACACTGTACAGCATTTGGGCAGAACGGGACTCAGCGCAACCAAAGCTAACACAAAGTCTGGCCTGCCAATACTTACCCAAAAAAAGCTCAAGTGTTATGGATGATGAAATGTAACTCCCTCAAAGTGAGTGTCTTGTCTCTTCTGATTTGCCTCAGCCATCTCTGCTTGCCATGGCTCTCCTGCGTCTTGAGGTGGAGGACCAACGTGACCCAGAGGAAAGGGACCAACTCTCAGAGGCTATGGAAAGTCTACAGAAGCTACTGACTGTAAGTACCATGTATCTGAACAATTAATGTAATACTGTATTTAGGTTAAAAATTTTTTTTTTGAAAAACAATGATCACCTTCTCTTTGTCAATAGATCAGAGATGGCGATCTCGTGTGTGTGCGTGAGTTGGTGGGCAAATGCCTTGCTGAATACTCCACTGCTAAGTGCTCCAGGCCGAACAGCCAGAGGCTTCGCTGGACCATTTCGGGAAGAACCGCTCGCCAGCTGAAGCACAGCTACTACAAGATCACTCACCTTCCTACCATACCCGAGTCGGCTTGCTAAACTCTTAGCCGCCATCTCGTCGCCTGTACCCCAGTCCCCTGTGATTGGCTGTAACTTTTCAGGTGACTTAGCTTACTTTTTTTTTTTACTTAAAGATCCTCATCTGTGAGATGGCGTTCTTTAAGTGAGAAGGCTTTCATCATGCAATGTCAAGAAGCAGTAAATTAGCCACAGCTTTTGTGCTCAGTTCTCCTTCCAAGGGTGTGTGAGTGCGACTACGTTCTCGTTTGAATCCGTTCCACGGTGTTTGGTATTTCCTGGAACGGGTTCCTGGTTTTAAGCTAATAAGTATTGAACCACCTAGGTCCTCAGTCCACCATGTGGAAGAGGAGGGAGAAGGATTTTGCGAAACAAAAATATGGAACCAAGAAATCGGGCCCAAAGTCCTTAACTTCCACCCTAGGTTGCTAAGCTGTCTTGAATGCACACTCCTACCCAAGGTGATTTTTTTTTTTTTTTTCGTTAATAAAGCACGTTGAAGGTATTGACACAGTAGTTGGTTACGGATGAGTTTTTTTGCCATTTGATAGATTTATTGGCATAGCGTGAAATGCCACGTTCTTTCTGATTTCAGTTGGAAACCTTTTTGGTCTGAAATGTGATTTTGGAATTTGCATTGCAGTTCCTTTTGCTGTTTGTGTGTGTAGTATGACAAGTGTCACTATTTGTTCAAACAAATACATTTCAAAAGGACTGAATACACAATCTACAAATGGACTTGTACCTTTCAATAAAACTTTATTGAAAAGTTGTGAGTGCACTGTTGTCTTTTCTAAATCACCAACATGTGTCAAAAGGGAACAGAACTATTACTCTGCTTAATGGGCCCAATTTCTGTCAAATGTTTTGTTTAACATGGGGAAAAGACTGACATTGAAACACTTTACATTATTGAACCTAAAGGTCCTATGTGCTGTAAAACCAACAATAGTGTTCATTAGACCAACCTGACACCCCCCAATATGGGATTTTGGTGTAGGTCACTTTTGTAAACTGGAAAAGTCCGGACCACCGCCAGCGAAGTTTCCTGAAATCTCTGCACCACTGAAGTCAAATCCAGGATTCTGGAGTGGAGGTGTTCAATTCATTCTTACATCATTGTTTGAGTGAAAATAAATTAAGAGTACAAGAATCAGAGCAACCAACCTCTCGCTGAAACCTCTCGAGTGTGAGCTTTCTCTGCATCTGGTCCTGGACCCAAGCATTTGCACAGTATTCTCCCTCTAACAAAGATGACCAGCAGTTCCCCGCCTCTCGGTTTGTCTTCATCAGCACAATTCGAATGAGACATTTGTCCTCTGTGGATAAAACGAATGAAGAGGAGTCAGACAGGGCATAAATCTAAATAATAAATCACAACCTACCAAGGGTCCACGTTGCCTCATCAGACACAGTTGCACCGAACAGCCTGCCCTGTCAAAAGATGGAGATATGACAAGGTCAAGAAGGTGGTTGGAATATAATTTCCATTTGCTGATCACAGTCCACCAAATTGTTCATCTAACGACATGATAAAAACAGACACTTGAACTAAAATACATCATATTCATAAGAGGTACTGATTATTAAATGTATTACTCGGTGTCCAGTGTATAGGAGTGCCATATAAATCTGAGGCATAATGATTACAGATCACATCTATGTTTTGCTAGATGGCCCTGTAAAGCTACTGGAAATATGATGGTTAAAAAACAAACATGCTAAATTCGAATATAATCGTTTATTCCCAGAATGACAGCGGCCAACCTTGATTATTTCTGTCCCTTTGACATTCAGCTCGACGTCTCTGGTTCCCAAATGACACTTGACTTCTTTTGCCGACGTCCCGGGGGGCACGTTGACTTCGATGAATACCTCCTCCATGGTTTGGCTCCACGAGCCCCAGCTAGTCTGACAGGGAACCAGCCCGCTCCTCTCGTCGAAATGCACCGACATTTCGTTCGCGAGGATTGTTTTGTAATGCAATGAAAAATTATGAATAGTTATATTTTACCCCGCAGTGTAATGAAAGAATAATTTGACAAAATCTTCAATAGTTTGTTTGTTGCGTTGCCACGCCTTCAATTCTTCTTCGTCCAATAGTACTGATGTTATTTCCGGTACCGTGTGATGGGACAGTGCCATCTAGTGTCTGCTAACAGCGCAGCCATTTTGGGGGGTAAATAATGAAAAAAGAGACACAGTAGTTTTAAATCTTTTTAACGCATTTTTAGCAGCGTCTTCCACCGTGTTTAGGCGACATGCTGACTAACGTGTAGAAAAAGCCAACAGAATACACATCTGATCTAAAAGAGGAGTGGATTTAGTAATCTGTTAATTGGATTACTCGACCTTTCCTGATGTCCCTATGATTGCCTTTATGCACAGCTAAAGTTCACTGCGCCTTGAAGAACACCGTCAAAAGTTAATTATGATTTGAGACTACAGGAGTTTCAACAGGATTTTAACACATTTCTTCTCGAGATGTCTGTCTTTTTCTTGTACTCTATACTTGCCTTCATCTTTGGTAAAAGGTAGGCGCCTCATCTCGTCCAACATTTGTTAAAGAATGCTTCAGGTAAACATGATGTGTTTGCATTTTTTGTTTTTCTTTTTCAAGTCTAGGCAATGTGAATTTAAAGGAGAAGAGTTACTCAGACAACATCACTCGCATTCTGGATCGACTTTTGGATGGTTATGACAATAGACTGCGACCTGGATCTGGAGGTATTTTGCCAAGATTGACAGGAAAATTGGACACAATGCCTGATATGTTTGCAATAAATATGTGCCAGGTGCAACATCAGCGGGTAAAGTGGTAACACATTTGCCTCACAGTTACGAGGCTCTGGCATTTCATTTTCATTTTTTCCTGGCTCCCCACATTCCAAAAATATGTATTTGACACCAAGGACCATGTGAGTAGTCTGTTCAAAAAATGGCTTGCGAGTCATTGTGATTTCCTAGGAATGCTGTAAAAATGATTTGAAAATGTCAAAACTTGCAGAAATGTATAGAAATCAAGTGTTGCATGTTGACATTTATCTGTTATCTATCTTGTTAAATCACTGGGAAACCATGATCATTTTCTTCACATACATGAATATCATTAATTAAAAAAAAACACATCTTCCATTTTGTTTTTTACTACATGTTGGTTTCTGTTGCAGGTGGCGTTACTGAGGTGAAAACAGATATCTTTGTCACAAGTTTTGGACCTGTGTCAGATGTTGAGATGGTATGACCAAAATTCTGCAATGCCAAAAGATACCTTGACTTTATGTATCAGACACCCAGTACAGTGACCAGTGACTGCCTGCCTTGCAGGCATCCTGCCATGAGCACATCTCACGAGCTATCGTCTACAGTATTTGACCAGCTCTATGACGCCATTACTGATGACTTCTGAATCAATATGACAACATGTCAGCGAGGGAGGGCTTAATAGACTGATTAATGATTATCCGGAATGAATGACGTGCGACTGTCATTGCGTCTGTCGTTTTGTTTCTGCAAGCGGAGAAAGTTGAAATGGCCTTTTTGCTGTTGTTATACATGGTGGGATACTGCTGTGAGAGAATGATGGTGAAAATGTTTTCATTTGTGTGTGTGTGTGTGTGTGTGTGTGTGTGTGTGTGTGTGTGTGTGTGTGTGTGCGCGCGCACGCGTGTGTGCGTGTGTTTTTTTTTCCAGGAATACACCGCGGATATGTTCTTTCGACAGATGTGGTTTGACGAGAGGCTCAAATTCGAAGGTCCCATTGAAATTCTGCGGTTGAACAACCTTATGGTAGACAAGATCTGGACACCGGACACCTTTTTCCGAAATTCCAAAAAATCAATTTCCCACAACATGACCACACCGAACAAGCTTTTTCGCATTATGCAAAACGGGACTGTCCTTTATACAATGAGGTGATGAAAACAGTGTATATTTATTATGAGTGAACAATTTATTTTTGACAATGTAGAAATGATTTCTGTTCAACCTGTTGTTATAGACTGACAATAAGTTCAGAGTGTCCAATGAATCTAATGGACTTCCCCATGGATGGTCACACTTGTCCTCTTAGATTTGGAAGCTGTGAGTCATACGGATTCTGATGATAAACAGAAGGATCGAAGGGATATTCACAAATGTGATGACATTTTCCCTTAAATATTACTTTTCAGATGCCTACACCAGCAGTGAAATAGTTTTCACTTGGAGAAAGGGGCCTGTAAAGTCTGTCGACTGTCCCAAAGAGTCCATGAGCCTATTGCAATATGATCTGGTGGGACAGACGTTGTCCAGTGAGATTTTCAAATCCAACACAGGTGTGCAAACACACGCTCACACACACACACACACACACACACACACTCATGTTAATGTCAGTGGTTTTTTTTTCAATTTGAGTTAGATTTTTTTTCATGAATTTTCATGAACTATAACATCTCTATTGTCAGCACACAAATAGATAGTCTTCCTTAGGGCTTCAGCATTATGACCCAAATGCTAATCATGTTCATTTTGATCAGTACTGCAATCCTGGTTATTAATCACAGTTACAGTATTCAGCATGTTATGGAAAAGATGTGTATTTTTACCCCACTTCTTTTAAACAAACAATAAGTCAACAGTTTTCAACTGAAGGATCATCATTTTAGAATGACAATGTAAAACAATATTTGAGAATTAAACTTTTACCTCGGGCTAACTAAATAAACAACCATTTCTGACAACGGATGCTGATCCCTTTCGAGACACTAACTTCTCATCATGATGCTCCCTGTTCCCTGGTCTTGCTTCCGTGCACTTGTGTCCACTGCACTCCGCCACGCCAACCTCAAACCGTGACAGAGCGCCGTAAAATTAATTTGGCACCTCTCCAAGATGCGTGAGCGGTCAGGCTTAATGCCGTACCTGTAAATAGCCTTACAGTGCAGTGTTTAAAGCGAATCACAGACGGAGAGGAGCGATGACGACGGGTGAGCGTTTTGTCTTTCCACCAGATGAAGAAGTGTTCCCCGGCCGGGAACCCAGAATAAAATGCTGAAAAAGAGAGGAACCGGCTGACGAATAGAGCGGTGACACCCATTCATCGAGCAGAAAGAGAATCCGTGCGTGCGCAGCTTATTTTTGCTCAGCTGAAGCATGCATGTGTTTCGACAGAGGTGTTGCACAGAAACACACCGGAGGCCATCCCACCTCAATCCTCTCTCCTACATTGGCAGTACAGTTTCTTTACTCTATGCTATGTCCCAGCAGCTATTTAGTTTCAAGGGCAGGCAAGGGCATTGATTGTGCACTGGCTGCGCTCTGTCCCTCAGGGCTGCTCTTCTCACACATGCTGTTTATCTTGCAGGTCACTACTCTGTGCAGGTGGTCCATTTCCACCTCCAGAGGAAGCTGGGATACTACCTCATCCAAACATACATTCCACTTATCATGGTTGTCGTGCTGTCACAAGTCTCTTTCTGGATCAATAAGGAGTCTGTCCCGGCTCGTACAGTCGCCGGTATGTCACCTTTACTCTGAATTTAAAATGCGGCGAGCACGCATCTTATATGTGTATGTTTGATTCGAAAGCGATCACACCCCTGTTAAGGAAACCATTGAAACACACGACCGTAAGTCATCTTAACATTTAAAACAGTAATAATTTGACAAATCACTTATGCAATTCAATAGAGGAATTCAATGCCCGACTTTTTGAGGCCAGTGCTGATTTTGATATATGGCAAAATAATATTCCGATTAATCGACCGATTAATAAATACATGGACGGACTTAAACAACTTCCTTTATTTTGGTCCTTTAATGCAGGGGTCCCCAACCTTTTTTGCCCCACGGACCGGTTTAAGTCAGACAATATTTTCAGGGACCGGCATTTAAGGTGTGGCGGATTAATACAACAAAATGATATGGTATGAGCTGCATGAAAACTGTGGTGTTTTCGAAATATAATAATAAACACAAGGAGCGTCTAATCTGGTCGCAACACTCTTATCGCTATGGTAATGTTTAATGCCTTCAAAATACGATACAACGCAAATTCAAAGTGCATGAAAATGATGACTCACCACAGCCCCGAGCTTGATTTTCTGCAATCACAGTCCCATCTCGGGGTAATAGGAGACAATGACACCTCAAGTGTGTGGTTTATGTCCAGTCTACTTTGTAATTTTGTTTTAGTCACCGTTGCTGCAGAAACTCCCCACCTCACACATGCAGGATGTCGGAAATAGCAACAGTGCTATTGTGGCGATCTCAGAGTATTCAGACAGAACTTTAATCCAGTTGTCTCGAACGTACTTTTAAGGCCGCCATCATTTGCGATCTCCAAGCAGCTTTTTCACTCATTTTGCGGGCTTCAGCGTTTTGTTTATGAGCGTCATCGGTCACCTGACCGAGAAGTGTTGGGGACCCCTGCTTTAATGCTTACAACAATGAAGCTATAAATTACAGGCAGTTTGACAGTTTTAAAATACTTTGTCCTTTCGAGAAAATTTGCAAAAAAAAAATTTTTTTTTGCGGCGGCCTGCTGGTCCAGTGTTTAGCGCGTGACCTCACAGTGCAGAGGTCCTGGGTTCGATCCCAGCTACGGCCTTCCTGTGTGGAGTTTGCATGTTCTCTCCGTGCCTGCGTGGGTTTTCTCCGGGTACTCCGCTTTCCTCCCTCATTCCAAAAACATGCGTGGGAAGTTAATGGAACACTCTAAATTGTCCCAAGGTGTGAGTGTGAGTGCGGATGGTTGTTCGTCTCTGTGTGCCCTGCGATTGGCTGGCAACCAGTTCAGGGTGTACCCGCCTACTGCCCGAAGACAACTGGGATAGGCATGCCCCACGACCCTTGTGAGGATAAAGCGCCAATTCTTTCTTTGGGGTGGTAATGTTTGAATTTGATCATTGTCTTGTGTTGTAATGTGTAAAAAAAAAAACAAATGAGCAAAATATCAGCTTGATTTTCCATGTCTGTTTATACTTAACTATTGATATAGTGAGAAGTGTGGTGTCATAGTTTTTATTTAGCTATGAAAACTTGCTGTGAATAGATATGTGTGAGAGGGAGAGATTCACAGCATATGCTTTGCTATACTTTGTTTTCCCCCTCAGGCATCACCACAGTGCTAACAATGACCACGCTGAGCATCAGCGCCCGCCAGTCCCTCCCCAAAGTGGCCTACGCCACAGCCATGGATTGGTTCATCGCCGTATGTTTTGCCTTTGTGGCGTCTGCCCTTGTCGAGTTTGCGGCAGTCAACTACTTTGCCACGCTGCAGGCCAATCGTCTGAAGAGGACAAAAGCCCGACAAGACAAGCTTGAGGTTTTAGCTACAGCAAGCGATGATGAAGATAGGGTTTCGGTGAGTGCAGGATCACACCAAATGTTTTGCACTGGCGTTGCCAATTTGGGGGCGGGAGGGGGAATTATAATCATGATGATTTAGATTGATTTAAATCACGCTTAATAAACATGATGATTATCTTACCCTGTGATTTCAAATTCTACTCATACCTCGGGTATGCTTTTAATTTAAGTATTAACTATAGTGTTCTCGTTTGTTGTCGAACACTCAAACATATTTAACCCAAATACTGCTGAGGCCAACTACGTTGTTGTTGTAACTACAAGAGGTATAATAGTTTGGGATTTGTCATTCAAGTTGGTTTTATTACGTTTTCATGATTATTTTTGAAATTCATTTACTCTGAAATAGTTTTTAGTTTTTTTTCATTATTTTTTTCAGCTTTTGCTAGTTTTTTTCATTTTAGTTTAGTTTTCATTAGTTTTAGTATTAGTTTTATTTTTTTATTTGCATATGGCGTATTTGTATTATATATGAATCAGAATGCCGTGTTTAGGCTTGTGGCGCTGCATAGACCATATTCTTGTTCAGAAAATTTTGAGGTTGGCTTCCCTTTTAAATAGTAATATTGTCTGTTCTAACGCCCTCATCCGTGTCTCGATGCTTGATGCTAATACAGTAAGCCACCATGGCATCCTCTTGGGATCTGTCTCACGCGCAGGACTCATGGTTAGATGTTTTAAAAATAGCCTCAGTGCGAGAAGAACTACAGCACTGCATAATCCGCTAGCATCCTATGGGCATTCATCAAATTACCTGCTGTCTTCTACAAGCATGCTTGCATGCCATCGGAAAGCTCCCGTGGGAAGAAACAATACTACGTGACACTGTGTTTTATCACTGCAGTGCTACACTCACGTCATATACCCTCCCCCCAGGAGTGCAACACAAGCGCTCAAGAAGGCCTGAAGAGGAGAAACCACTCGATGTGCCCCAGTGAACCAGCCGAGGAACCCCCCGTGCCGATATTCCTTCAGCAGGGCTCAGCTTTCCCCCAAATACCGCAGCTGGCCGGCACCAGCCCCATCGACAAGTATGCCCGCATTCTTTTCCCCTTGACCTTTGGCCTCTTCAACCTGATCTACTGGTACATCTACCTGGCTAAGGACAGCATGGAGAGAGCCAGGTACACTCGCTACAAGTCAGTCATCCTCTCATATAGGTACATGCAAGCAATGTCGCCATCCATGGGGGTTACGTTGCAGACCATCCCCTGCCACAAATGAAATCTCTACAGCATATTTAAGCATTTTTCCATAGCATTCATGCCATTAAAAATTTTTAAAGGTCTTATTTAAACTAAAAAATACAATGAATAAAGTTGGATATGTAACTGTTATCCACAAGGCTCAAAATAAACTTTTATTGGGCAGAGGTTTTGCCAATCAATGACTTCATTTTAGGAGCGACGTTCTAATTTTGAAGAGCAATTTTTTTTGCGGGTTAATAAGAGGGCTTTATTAAACAATAAGAACGGTAAATGAGCTGTCACTTACATAACGCTTTTCCACCCCCGGTACTCAAAGCGCTTTACACCGTTTCCTCATTTACCTACTGGAGGTTCAGTGTCTTGCTCAAGGACACTTAGACAAAGTCACGATGGCCAGGGATTGAACCCCCAACCTCTGGGTGGGGAGACAACCACTCCACCACTGAACCATGCCACCACCTCAGAATACGGCATGACATTCCAGAAATTCTAAACATTTTATACGCTACAGTGCTGCGGCTTCACCGTTCGGTTATTGCAGCTTCACTCTATCGCTGGGTTTTCATTTGTGAGCATAATTTAATCAATCTAGCTTGAGGATGAAAAATGGGGAATTCCATTTGAAATTCATCATCCCTGTTCAATACAGTACATTGTACAAAGTAAAACGTCAGAAGTTCACTGAAGTCGAAAGCGTTAGCATTTATTTTCATGATGCTAGATTGTATCTTCTCATTTTAATGACAGGTGGTCTAATATATTTGTTCAGCACTGCACAAATCACCAACAGTATCACTCCCAGTTGGAGGATTCCTGACAGCCATGCATTGTTTTGCTTTTGGTCCTCATCGTGCGTGACCCTAAAGTTTTGTGCAACTTTAGGCTTATGTCCCTGTAACATTAAAATTAATTTAATTGGAAAATGCTCAACCTCAGGCCATTAAACTTTAAAGATTCCACGGCAGAGTATTTTAGCATTTTTATTAATATGTAACCTTGAATAATTGCATACATAAACCTTGACCTATTGTTGCTTTTCAAGGAATTTGGGATGACTGAAGTTTGCATAATTCAACAGGACTGTGAGAAAATGAACGGACTATTATTCTATTCTATGTATTGCACATGTCAGCTGGCCTTTGAGCCAGATGGGATCAAGAGCAGCGACAGGTCACTAATATTCATGAGCAAAGTGGCACTACATTGAACGGGTGAACAGCTTAACCCCAACATGAGTCAGGTAGCACTTTGCTGCGGAATGTCTTATAAGCTATTCCGACAGACATTTACCCGTGCTGGTTGGGATTTAACCTCCATCTCACACACACACCCGACTAAGGCAGCAGAGAGCAAAAGGCCTGCCTTATGTGCGACGGGAAAAACAGTCCCAAAACTAATTAAAAATGGTTGAATATGGTGCAATCTGTAGTTGAGTGGAACTGGTTCAGTGATGCTGTTTGACTATCAAGTTGTTTTATATTTCATATTTTCAATAGAAAAGGTCATGTTAATTAATATATCACAGGCTTAAACTGTTGCCAGCGTAAAACCTTCATAACTGTGCTGGCAATTGTTGGGGGAAGAGCGGCCTCCTCTTCCCCGCGTGTTCATTGAATTTCGGACGAGGAGAATGTTGGTAATCCAAATAAAGGCTGGAGGCGATGAACAGTTACTTCGAAGGGTTTAATTTATTTTTCTGCAGTTTACGAATCGATTCGGGCTCCTGAGGGGTCCAGATTTGAATCAGGACGCGTAAAAGACACACATTCATGAGATTATATAGAGACAATATGATAATGAGAGGCGGGGAGGTACGCCTCTCATGCAAATCCCGGAAACAAAGAAAGTAACATGTCATCTGACCCGGTGTGGCTGGAAGAAGTTGGGAGTGGTGAGGTGAGACCAGACCACCACTACCCACCATTTGGTGTGATGGCAGGAACACAGATACTTGAGATAACAGTTCCTCTTTTGATGTTAAACATGTCCTATGGAGGGGGGCCCTAAAAGTGGTGGGGGTCGAGGTGCACTAAAGGTGATCGTAAACACAGTGAGCAGGAAATACCTCCAACAACATTCTATATTTTTTGTTTCTTTCAAATCCAACTAACAGAGAGGAATAATACCTTAACACAATGTATAAAGGGGAGCTAAACCCAAGATGCGTTTACACTGGATGACGTGAGTAGGCGAATTTTCTTTCGGATTTGGAATGATATGCGGGAAAAAAAACTTGAGTAGGTTGATTTTTGTATTTAAAAAAAAAAAAAATCTCCAGAGTGAATTCTATTGGTTTCTTGTTCAGCCGTTCTGTGCTGCCCTTGAATGGTCATTTTCATGCAAGAGAGCTGTTTGCACTGGAAAACCAAAAAACAGTATGCGATTTGTTGTTTGCTTCAAACCCTTGGTCGTTGGATTAGGATAGTGCATCTTTTATTCATGCATTGAAATATGCATTTTCAAAAGTTAAATATATCAAGGTAGGTTGCATGTATGCACGTATTTTGTCCAGATTTATTTATTTATTTTTGTCTTTCATCCGTTTGGAAGTGTGTGCTCCTATGTGGACCACAAGTAGCACTGATGGAAAAATTGACTCAATCTTCGAGCCGAGGCACGATTAGAACCCTCTACAGCATTGTTGTAAAGGTAAAAATGCTGTCAGATGAAAACTAATGAAAAAGAGTCACAACCTCCCCCCGGTCCTCAATATTGTAGTGCTTCAATAAAACAATAACTTCCCTGCCTGTACTATTATGTCACTCATGGCTAATAGTGAAGTAGCCCCAAATGATGCGAGAAAAAAATAGGAGTCAAATATTGCTAGGCTGCGTTTCATTCAAGTCTGTGCGCTTGCTTTTATCATAATAATAGATTTACGGCACAACACGAGCCAGTGAATGCATCACACTTTTATATAAGGGTTACCTGAGGGCTGGCAAAACCCCAAACGCTTTCATGAAAACTCTCTTTCTCCACGGGGACTTGGTCACACAGGCAAATAAATCAGCGCTCACTTGGAACGACGACTAATAATAAGTGGGCCACTTCTCCAACGCAACCAAGAAAGAGAATAGAGGCAGAAAAATGTGTTACGTAACGCCTGGGGCGTGCAAATCTGCTCATCATGCTTCTCGTGTTCCTGTCAGAGAATTTTTGTGCTTGTTTTGAGAGCGAGAAGAGCTGAATCACATTTTCACATCTTTTCACTGCATCACTTTTGCTTTTCGGAGGCGGTGCTTCGGAGTCGCACGTAGATGGGCTAAGCTTGTGCTGTATGTATTCTGGTTTGCAGGGATGTGGATCCAACCTCTTAAAAGCAAGAGGACCAGGAAAAGGGCACGTGCAGAGCGAGAGACCACCCTCCCCCCTCTGCTCGCCCTCCTTTTCTCTCTCTCTCTCTCTCTCTCTCTCTCTCTCTCTCTCTCTCTCTCTCTCTCTCTCTCTCTCTCTGTGAAGCTCTGAGCATTTGTTCTGCTCTCATCTGACAGAGGAAATGAATCAGAAACTCATTTATTCTGCTGGCGCACATCTATTCATAACACAGGCTGTGACCGCTGCCCACTTGTGTTCTGATCAGTAGGCTGAAGAGCTGCCCTTCACGGGTCTCCATCACTATCAAGCCCGTCGACCACTCAAACCCGATGACGATAACGGCACGCGCGGCACCCCGAGAAGTGCACAAGTCTCATGAAAAGAAAACGGATGATATCCTCGATGATGGCTGCACCTGCTGGTGATGCAAAAATGAACCAATGCTTTCAGAAGGCTGCCCTCTACAGAGTCACAGCCCCCATTGCAAGCACATCAAAGTCAACTTTCCCCTTCAAATGTGCTCAAAGCTGAGAGAATGAATGGTGAGGGTGGGCTTTGCATCCCATCGCTGTCCACGCATGTCTCTGTGGGGATCCTTTTTTTCCCAACTGGGGGTTGATTCTGAAAACATTGCATGAGGCAGACACAATTCTTTTTCATTTTCTCATTAGAAATGCAACATTAAAATTAACCTAAGTAGAGCAAGTACATACCTTTGTCACACTGCTGGGTTTGAAGTAGCCCAAAAAGGGTGAATGGCTAGCTCATTGCTGGTCCAAAAGGGACTGAGCCAGTGCTGGGTTATTCATACCCTGCACATTGAATTGAGGATTTGACCCAAAATGTTGGGTCGAGCATTTTTAATCAAACAAACTACACCCTAAAAAGAGGTGGGTCAAAAAGAACCCAGTTAATTCAATAGACCGATTGACGACCTGGGTCAATGTGACCTAACTTTCTGGGTTGTCTTGGACAAAACAATCGCAAAATTTGGGTCATTTTGTATCAAAAACATTTCAGACATTAGGTCATTTTTGATCAAACGAGTTTTATCCAGAATGGCCCATGTTTTTGTGTTGTTGATTAAAAAAAAAAAAAAAACACAGAAAGTAGTAGATGGGTCCATTTTTGACCTAGTTGTTTTAGAGCCTTGTCATACTGATGAGTCACCAAGAAATTGGTTACCTGTGTATAGCGGTGGTTAAAAATAATTCTATTTTTGGAACCAACATTGTCTAATAATATTGCATTACATTTACTTTAACTTTGATACGCTCAAAATTTTCTAAGAAGTCAACCAGCTTCAGATCCTCAATCTGCCCAAATCCATTCTTCAACCCAAATTGCTGGGTCAAAATAAATGGCCCAACCTTGGGTAAAGTAAGCCAATTTGCTCAAATTCCACAGCTACCCAATGAGTGGGTTCGGAAAACAACCCAGCATTTTTTAGTGTATCCGGTTGAACAAAATCAGCATGTGTGCATTTGTATGTGTGGCGTACACAGCGCACACTACAATGATTTCAACACTGACAATCATGTCTCCTCACCAAAACCAGACAATTAACCTGTGAGAGGAAGCATTGTGCCACCGGCCGTCCAGACAGAAAGTCGTCGTAGAGGAAGAATAGAAGCTCGGCAAACAGTTAGCTTATCTGGTAACGCCATTGATTTGCAAACTCTTATTTTAATTGACTTGACATGCTACACACACAACACTATCAGTTGCCCCCCTCTTATTTTTTTTCTTGTTGAAAACAGTGCAAGTTTCATGTTGCTTCTATTGGGTCAAAGTCTGAAGACTGGCATGGCCACTTAATGGCTTTAGCATGCGAATGAAACACTTATTTATTCCCACAAGAAGAAGTTTCATCCCGATTGAGAATTTCTTGTAAAGATCCGAGTGAACCTTCTCATGGTTTGCTATTGACAAATTCTCCACAAATTTGCAGAGAGTATGAATCATTCGATAATGCAAAGATGCCACAAGACGCAGCTAAAGCCCTTGCTTAGAGGAAAGTAGTAATTGGTCTCACGAATTCATACTTCGTGGGAAGTATCTTGCCGGTTTTAAGATCTTTGCATTCGAGGTGGAGCTAAGTCAGCTGGGGGCATTCACAGAAGTTAGAGTGTTCGCCACATGTATGTTTTTGCTCTGCTGAGTGGCTATTAAAAAAAGAAATGCCAAGAAATGATGGAGGGCTCATGATTGCTTGTGAAATTATTACCGGTTGCAAAGTGGTGACATGTGAGCTTCCTCCCATTTATGGTGCTTTTTTTTTTTTTTTTTTTTTTTGTCTCGTCATCCGTGTCCCTTGTGTTTCACCAATCAGCTCGCTCAACCCTTTGTGTTTTGTCCAGGTGTTTCTTGTTGTCGCGTCTCTATGCTTGTATTTAGTTCCGTGGGTTCTGTCAGTCTTTGTTGGGTCATTGTGAGTATGAGTGTCTGTATGCTCCTGTCACAGGTTTTTTTTTTTTTTTTTTGTTACTTTGGTTCCTTGTGATTTCCAGGACTTGGTTCGAGCACTTCAGTTGTTTTTCTCCAGTGTACTCCTGTTTGTATTTTTGGTTAAATACATCTTGGTCAGTCCACCCCGCTCCTCCTGCCTCCCTGCTTTTTTGGGGGGGGTCCTCCAACTAACTACCATCACGCAAAACCTGACACGCATTGTGTCAAGATTTTGATCCAATAATGGGTGAGTTAAAGCTGTCAACAAATGGGTTAGCAGTAGAGATATGGTTAACAAAATGTTCACTCCCAACATTTTCTAAAAGAAGAAGCAATTTTCCCTACCAGGGTTGCCACAGTGAGTCACTTCTGTGATTGGCACAGTTTTTACACCAGATGGCCTACTTGACACAACCCATCCGTTTTTTTTGTCCAGGATTGAGCCCGACACTGCTTGGGGAGTCAACATATTGTGCAAAGACCGAACTGAATGTTGCAATTCACTCAAATTGATACTGGAATTCCAATCCCCATGTCCAAAGTCAGCAATGTTACCCACTGAGTCATCCAGCCACCACCAACAGTTCCCAAGAATGTTACATTAAACTGACTTTAACTTCAGGACACACCATAACTGTGTCCAAAATGGCGGACAGCTTCAGATCTTTAGATTGCCCAAATCCAGGCTCCAAACCAATTGGCTGGGTCAAAATGATTAACCCAACCTTGGGTAAAAGTAACCCAATCTGCTCAAAATCTACAGCTACCCAGGCAATGGGTTAGGAAAACAACCTAGCCTTCATATGTTGTAAAATGTTTTTTAGCTATAATTAAACAGGAAATTAAGTAAAAAAAATGTTTTATGCACCCCAACTAGTATAAACACGGTATTCAAATTGATATTGCATTTGTGCAATATGAAGTAAGCATCATTATTCACCCGTTTATATACGTCCCAGGGGGCGGCTGTTATGCCATTGGTGTCGACTGAAAATGACATCACAGTAGCCCAGGGCTCAGATATAGGACCAATCGTGGCTCAGCTTGCAAATGTCACATTACCAAACTCAGGAAAACAAACGGGGATCACATTTTGTTGGGGTGTCTCTGGCTTTACTGGATTCAAATCCTATAAACGGAAGAAATTATACTCTGATTGGATTATGTTTTATATCAAAATTTAAATTATATCCAGATTTAAATTTGTTAGCACAATATTTTCTGATGGCTTTTTAATTGTAATTTTTAATTTAATCTTAATTAAATCTAAATTTGATCCAAGCACAGTACCTATGGAATTTGTGAGATTCTGAGCAATACTGAATTTGCCCATTCTTGCTAGAATCCCCAGCCTCCATCAAAACAAGCCATCTTGATAAATGAAAACATGTAGTTAGGAAGTTGCACACAAACAAATTGATCATAACAACAATCTCCTTGGCGTGGGCTAATAAACTTGCAGAGCCTGTGAACGCTCCACTGCTATGTTGGACCTTGTTGACAAACGCAGGTGCACTGTGCAGGGCAGAAAAAAAGTGCTCCTCTCTCAGGGTGTCTTTGCTAAGCGTATACACTTGTGCCTGTCATACATTTTCTTCCTCCGCAATGGAAGCTTCTCATGCACCATCAGCCGTCTCCGCGCTTTGATCTCGGCTCGGCAGTGCGCATGCGCACCTCACTGGCTCCTCTGCACCGTCTCCGGCAAGTTGGATGTGCGCGCTGCTCACTCGCATCCCGAAACCGCCTCAAAAACTGTTGAGATGGGGAGGATCAGGAAAAACCACTTTGGGATTTTGACTTTTTCCCTGCTCGTCACTTTTGTCTGGACTCAAAGGTAAACGGTTTACACGTCGGCTGTGCTTCATGCGATGATTACCTTCATTTTTGGGGGGCATGACACCACCTTTTTCCCTTTCCTCCTTTTTAGCGTCAAGGATCTAAAAGATCCCAGCAACATGCCTCTGGTTAAGGAGACGGTGGACAGACTGATGACTGGATACGACATTCGATTGAGGCCCGATTTTGGTGGTAAGACCCCCCCCCCACCAAAAAAAAAAAGCCATCGTGGTGATGACATGGGTCAGAAAATCTGCATTAATTGACATAATGCGGTTAGACAAACGAAATGCGATTAATAAATCGATGAAAGCCGCTGACAAACCGACAGAGACGAACATCGGAGTATTGTGTCACGAAGATGTAATTGATATGAGAAGATTTGTCCTCCTAATGGCTGCCTGTCTTTGCAGGTGCACCAGTGGCCGTGGGCATGAACATAGACATCGCCAGCATAGACATGGTGTCCGAAGTCAACATGGTAGGTGCATCTTCAATCCTGCACAAAATCATATGCATGCATAGCGCAGTTGGGAACGGGGAAAATTCGCACTGTTTTACATGTGGATGTACCACCTATGCTGTGAAATCAAATGTGTGCGTGTTTTGTTTTTTTTTTTTTTGTCCTAAATGCGGATTTTGAGTGTCTGTGTCCACCGACGCGATGTTCGTCTCAGTCCCGCATTTGCAGCTCTGGCCGCATTTGAATTCCGTACACACACTCGGTGGCGCACTCAGACGCACTGGCACGGCTACGCGCGCTTGGAGCTGTGGGCGTGCGTGTGCGCGAGTGTGTGCCTGCGTGTGTGTGTGTGTGTATGTGTGTGTGTGTTATGTATGAGTGCATCACGTTCCTTGCTCCACTAGTGTAATTTTGTTGACACGCACACGCTCTGCTCCTCAAGGACTGGCATGTATTAGTGCATAGATGGGGAACCTGAGGCCCGGGGGCCATACAGGACCCGAAGGAATCTTTGATGCCGTCCGTCTTGCAGTTTTTGAATCAAATAATACCTTTTAGGAACAGTTACACTAAGACCATTGTCTTCATATAATTAATAATGTTAAAGATACCCCCGACCCCAATTTAGCATTTTGTTTTTAATCCAACCTTGTTTTCGTATATATAAAGTTTCTCATGCTGACACAGCCATGCTTGAAATCCTATTTTCAAAAAAAGTTACCAATGAATAATCAATGATAAATATCCAAATATCATGGCAGTCGAATGCAAATATCATCTGAACATTGTTAAAAAAAAATCACAATGCTAATGATCTAAATGTTGCCACATCTTTACTCTGTTGCTAAAAATTCGAGTAAATGGTGGTGGTTCATTGAAATACGCATCTTACATAGCGATTAAGCCAAACAGCTTCATTGCAACCACGCGAGTTGTACAACTGACATTTGTTGCCCTTCAAACTCCGCAGACACAAGTGCATGAATGTTCCTAATGACTCATGAAACCCGTTACATTCTTGACTTTATACATTTAAAATAACAGTAGAGATGCAATTGTTCTGACACTTTCCCAAATTCAAACATTTCTCGGAAATAAAACCATCTATTTTGCACTGCTGTTGCATGAATGCAAAAATACTGGCGCTTTAGACCAAAAGTCCCTCTGGTGGACTGCAACAAAATAATGAGGCTCGGTCCAGTGGAATTGATAGTAAAGATAGCTTGATTGTCACAGAAAGACCATTTGGTAAAGAATAGGGGGAAAAAAGGAACTCTTAAGACTAAGAGGAATTTGTGTTTGAAAAATCCTTTTCAATATCCCCAAAAATGTAATTAACATTTTCAAAAACAGGATGCATGCAGATCATGAAATTTTGTTTGGGGAAAAAACATACCGGTAAAGACATTTTGCCATTAAAAGTTTGAAAACAACTTTATTGTGTTTTTTTTTCTTCTGAGAAACAATGTTTACCTTTTGCAGCCAAAAATTGAATTACTCAAATCAGGAAAAAGAATAGAGTTTCAAAATGAAATAAAGTTGTATTTTTCTTTACCATTAGTGATAAACCTTTACGAAAATGTCCCATATACAGCTCTGCCACCCCCCCCCCGAAACTACTTTCTCTTGTTATTTATTGGTTTGTTTGCATTTAGAAACATTTTTGTTTTAATACTATAACTACTGACAACTTTAGTCAGTTTCATCATTTCATCATATCTTATGAATGCTCTCACAAGACTATTCAAACTAAAATGGCATGGTTTAATGCTGCAATCCAATTGAGTGTGCTGTTCCTTCTGGTGTGCCCACCTTGGCCACCAGGAGGAAGTGCTGCAGTGCTGAAATAAAACAAACATATTCTTCGACAGTATGACTACTCAGTAAATTGCTACAATATTAGTCATCTTCCGAGAGGATAAAGAATATATTCCTATGGGTACTACATGTGTCACTCCAACAATTGTTTAAATATCCATCGCGCCTGTTTGCATGTCAATGTGTGTGTCAGCTAAACTGACCTTTTTTAAGGCAAAGATACACAGTTAAGTCCATGTATTCCTCTTTATTTTGAAGTTAGTCTAACTCTAAATTTCAACTGGATTGGAATGACACAGTTTGAAGCATATTTTGGAGGGATGATTTGTTCTTGATGCTGACAGCTATAAATGTGTTTATGTTGTATGCTTACATGTGTTGTCAACGCTCAAGCACACTCCCTTTGGCCTGATTAATTTTTTGGGTTGCAAGAACCATGCACAAAATTCAGCATTCAGTACAAAAGGATCACCAACCGATCTGTCACGTTTTGTGAATGTAACCTGTGTGCAGTCGCTAAAGTGCAACTGGCTGGAAAAATTGGCATCCTGCCTTTATTTGTGCAAAAATCAAATATTAGCTGTCTGGTCATCTTTTGTGAAATGAAACTGGAATTCAAAACCAAATAAAAAGAACTCCGCTTTCACGAAGAAATGCAGATTAAAGACAAGAATTGAGGCAAACTGGGAGGCGGTAACCTTGACATCAGGGGTGGGTAACTCCGGTCCTCGAGGGGATGGTGATCATTAACGGAGATTGCTAATGAGCTGATCATATGAATCAGGTGTGTTGCTAGAAGGGAAACATTTAACATGTGCAGAAGAGCAGCCCTTGAGGACTGGAATTGCCCACACTTGCTTTACATGTTTCATTTGGTGCTGCTGGTTCAGTTTGCAACAGAGTTAAAACTTCAAATGTCCATAGATGACGGAAATTATTGCAGTAATTTTGATTTTCTTTTTTTTCATGAAGGAAAGGTGTTATTTATTTGACGGTGGCGTTTATATGTCTTAAGAGAATGACACACTCTGTGACTAATTGGGGCACAAGGTCAATTGAGAAAAAAATGCACAGTATATCAAGGGTTGTGTTTGCAGAAGGATTCACAAAAAGCCCAATAGAGGAGAACTCTTTTATAATATCATGAAAATAGTATGAGGGATTGGAAGTGGTGGTGTTTTCAATTATCCGTGATGCCATTTTTAAGCAAATGGCACCAAAGTGTGTTCCGTATATATATATATATATATCAAATGTATCAGACTACACCAGCATGATGATGCAGCGAATCAACTATCAAGCCATGGAAAGGTTTTCCTTTTTTAGTTTAAAATAAGTTAGATAATTTCCAGGATCTCGCGCCGTACCAAGGATGATTTTCTCTCTTTGGTTCAATTTTAAATCACCATTAAGTCCGGCGTCCAACTTTGCAAACCTTTCACTTGTTGCTAGGACCGTGTGAAGAGGCCAACATTATTTATTGACGAACTTCTTAGCAGTTGAATTTAATGCTCAATAACCGGCCAAATATTGCCATACACCACAGACATGTGTTATTCATGCGCAACTACGTCAAAGCATGCGCTGGTACGTATCACGTACGGAGCTTTCACGCACTCCCCATGTAGATGCGTCACACATGCAGAGATGTGACAGCCGTCCAAACATTCTTCTCTGATGACAGTATGCTATGAGCTGTTCTGACTGGAATCTGAAAATTCAGATTCAGCATTTGTTTTCAGCCAATTTGCAAAATCAATTCCAGTCACCACCGGGTTAATGGGCATTCAAAAATAATTTGCCTTTTTATTTGAATTCATGGTTCGTGTTCCTTTATTTTACCATAAGGCTAACCTATAAAACCAAAATATTTAGTATTTCTTGCTTGTTTGTTAAAAAAAAAACAAATGGGAAGAGGACCTTGAAAAAACACTCACCTATTAAATTACGGTAAATGGGCTGTCACTTAGATAGCACTTTCCTACCTTTGGTACTCAAAGCACTTTACATTGTTTTTCTCATTTACCTACGGATGGCACAGCATCAGGGGGTTCATCATCTTGCTCAAGGACAGATCAATAGGATTGCAATGGCTGGGGATTGAATCCCCAACCTCAAGGTTGGGAGACGACCATTCTACCACTGATCCATGCCGCCCCCAGTCGCGGTCACAATATTGAGTAAAAAAATTGCAATTAGATTATTGTTTTTCAAACTTGTTCAGCCCTAGCACATGTGCAATCTGAAAGTTATTTACTTAGCTTCACTGGCACAGATGTTTAAGTGCACTCACTCCGCACGAGCCCAACAACTGAATGATCCGAGATGAGCAAAATGGTTTACTTTGGTGGAGGATGCAGCCACAGCGGAAGTGCCTCAGGGGGCCGGGGGGAGATTTGGAATAGAAACCCCTTCACTGGTTTTTCACCTTCCATTCTCCCTCCCGCCTCCATCCTCTCCCTCCCACCACTTTGACTGGATCCCTGGCTGCGACTCTGGGCTCAGCAGCCATGTAATCCACCTCTGCCTTGCTCTAAAGGCTCCTCTTACTTAAGAACTGGGCCTCCATGCAAGCATTCATGTGGAAAAAAACACTGCTTCGTACATCCGTGTGTGGAGCATAACACAAAACTGTGCTTAAAACGCTGAATGGTGACTGACGTCACGCAGCCCCCTGTGGCCATGACACAGAATTCGTCTTGTGAAAAGCCCGCCACATGTGTCTCTGATCTGACAGGGCAACATTTCCGCTCAAACTTAGTTGCTGTCGACGTGCAACTTATGTAACGGGTCACAATGTCCTACTCCTCCCTTCAGGAGATCAGAGGAGCTGATGAGATTGATCTTGCCGAAATCAATAATATCAGCGGTGCAAGCGTGATTGTGGGAATTGAAGTTGGTGACCTCCGCTCTGTGCTGGGCCGCTTTGATCTTCCTCATCAGGCCAGGATGCTTTTGACAAACAAACACAGGGAGGATGACAATTTATTTATTTATTTATTTATTTCATGTCTCTGCGGTGGCCAGCTGATGAACCCTTTATGAGATCTGTGATCATATTATCCAGGTCCAAATACACATCAACCATGTTTTGGCACGGTCTACAATCTAATGAGATGAAAACAAAAATTCTGTCAGGAATGTTACCTTCAGTATGAGGGCTCTATTTTCATCACCAACATAAATCCTGAGCGGCTCAT